GTCTGTGAGAACTAGTGGGCTCACTTTGTCTACCTGCTGCCTGCATTTGGATATTGCTTCCGCTTGTGATCCTTGAGTGCAGAACCACAGGGCTCTGGAACTCTTTTCTCCTTTTTTTTTCTTCTATTGAGAAAGAAGTATCAATCAGACAGTTTCAAAACTGATTAATAGGACAGTTTCAATAATTAATACATTGTACATTGTTATCTTCTTAGTGGTTATCCATAGTACAACATGCAGACAGGATATCCTGTCGAAGCACATCTTTCTACTCATTGAATTAAGAGAAAGTAGCTGTATATCTATCCTAATTATTCTGCATATACAGATACAAAATGGTCCTTCCTTTGCTACAGAATATTCTGCCTTTATTTGTTTAGTCTTGTCAGAAATAAGTATTCCATTGGCATCTAAATACTATAGGTGGGGGCCGGGGAGATGGCTCAGTGGAATAAGCACTTCCCTGGCAAATGCAAGGGCCTGAGTTCAATCCCCGGTTCCACCAAAAAAATAAAATTAAATAAATAAATACTACAGGTGCATGAATTCAGCAAAACAATCCAACACAATCCAGCAGTCCATAATAGTAGTAGGTTTTCTCCTGAAGGGGCAAAGGGGTGATGTACAATATCGGCACACACACACCCCCAGTGCCGTCCTAGAAACCCTGACCTGGAGCTTTTGGATAGCAAACTAGGCAGATGTCCCGCCGTCAGTCCAGTGTGCCCACAGCTCTGTCAGGTGCTCTCCTGGTAGGGATCAGCTCTGATTTTTACAAAGCAGGCACATTTTCAGATAACCCAAGCAGGGACACATCGCGAAGGATGCCTGTATCGGTGCTGCTGCGTTGCACGTTATTGACAGTCACATTCTAAAGACACGTGTGAGGCCAAAAGAAAGCGTTGAGTAGAGGGAGGATGCAGACCAGTGTGTGTTTACAGATAACCGTAAGGCTGCAGACAAGAACACACCACAGCCACAGCGCTTGCTTTCTCCTCCATACCTGTCTCCTGCCATTCCGCTGCGGCTGCAGGACATGCCACAGGCGCAGCTGTCTCTTCTGAGGCATGCATGCTGCAGGACAGAACTGTCTTGTGTGAAAGGTCCCCCACAGCACCGCTGCCAGGCCCGATGTTCTCCCTCGTCCTCTGCATTAAGGACAGTGCCCACCCCTCCTCGCCAGCACATGGGTGTTGTGTGGCCAGTAGGGCTCTGTCTTCGGCTGCTGTCTTCCCTGTGTCCCGTCTCATGTCCTTCCATCTCCACATCAGGACTGCCAGTCTCACTCCGTCAGGGACCCACAGCTGGTAATGGCTAAAGAGCATCAGCCTAATGATGTGGGCTCTGCCTCACCAGCGCCCTTGCCCAGTGACATCTCGGTGGGGATGCCTGGCCAGCACCAGGACCCTCAGTCTCCACTGGTGTCTCCTGTTTGGACCTGGTCACTTCTCCTGGGCCCACTCTCAGAGTCCTGTTACCACCACCAGCTTGTTACTTCCTGTGAACCCCTGCTTACCCTTGCCCTCCCCAGCCACTGCTCTGTCCCATGGAGTAGTCCTGTACCTGTCTGCTGGGCTCCAGCCAACTCACTAATCTACCTTACTGTATACCGACACCAGACTTCTCCACTTCTTTCTTTACCCGGCATGGTTTCCATGGCCCAAGCTTCAAAAGAGCTTTTGTTACAATCCCAAACTACTCACTTTTTCATTCTTTCATTGCAAACAAACCCTAGTTGGCAGCCTCCACTCCTGACAGGTCGAGACTGTAGCCCTCCTGCAACAGTGCTGGGCAAGCCTGCTAGACAGAGCCCCGCACACCCACACTGGCACTGCTGGGCTCAGGGTCTCAGTGTAGGGGCCTCACATCTCTGTCTCTGCTGAACTGTCTTCCACTGCCTGAGGTCACTGGCCCGGGCTATGGAATATCCTGCCTGCCCTTCACAGCCTCACTCACTGCAGGCAGAGAGCCTGGAGCTTTGAAACCATGATGGGAGGCCCTGCTGCAGCCACAGCCTTGCAAACCCATGTGCAAGTGGAGCCTGGCCTCCTGCTCATCCAGGCCTTGTGTGGCCACCCTGCTGTCAGCTGTGTAACCTGCCTTGACCCCTATCCCTCCCACCCCATCCCTTCCCGTCACTCCTGAGCTATGCCGCTGTTTCCTCTTTCTTTGAGAATCCCTGACCTCCGACTCCCCTGAGCTGAGTCTGCCCGTCCTTGCCCTTATCCTTGGGGTTGGCATGTCCGGCAGGATGGCCACCTGGGTCTGCTGAGACCGAGTTCCACCCAAGTGAGGCCAGAGCATGTGACCAGGGAGCGGGGTCTGCTGGGACTTGGATACAGAGCTGTTCCACACTAGGCAGCAGATCTTTCTCTCTCCACTCATTTACAATTCAAAGAGAGTATACATAGCCACTTGCATTACGTAAAGCAGCTACTGCCTTGAATTTAGACTGCAGAAAGCATTTGGAGATCATTTTAAGTAAATTATCTTAACCAGTCTAAAAATACTTGTGAGCTGCCAACCAGAACACAGAAGTCCTGCATTCCTTGGCACCGTCTTACTGGAGCCTGGACAATTTAGAGGAGAGTGGTATCAGTCTTGTCCTCAGGGTTGAGCCCTGGTTCGCAGACTCTTTCTGGGGAAGCCTGCAGGCCCAGTGCCTGTGAACAGCACAGTCTGGGGACAGCTTCAGGGGCAGAGAGCCCAGCTGCATTATGTGCATGCCTAGTTTGTCACCCAGAAGAGGGAAGCTTCCGGAAGGATTTTCAGAGAACACTCCGAGTGGGCATCTGCATTTGTAGCTCGTACGGTTTCATTCATCTTCATGAACCCCAAAGGCAGCCCATGCTCTTTGTAGGTAAACACTCCAACAGGCCAACATCCGCTTGGTAGCTGTCACTCACCCCAGAGAGGAGTGACCCGGGGCAGCTGAGAGCACCCAGCTGGGGCAGGTGCAGGCTTGAGGCTGGTGCAAGCTGGCAAGCCACACACCCCCCCACCCCCAGGCGGCGCGGCTGCAGAGCAGGGTACTCCTGCGTGGAGGGTGGTGCTGGTCTTTACAGAGGGTGCTGCGGCCTGAGATTCGCACTAGGGCGAGAACGCACCAGAGATGCGGGGAAGGAGTTGGGAGGTTTTGTGTGTTTTATTTTTTATGCAGGGTTTAGCGTTTCTCTCTCTCTCTTTTTTTTTTTTTTTTTTCAGCACTGGGGATCGAAACCAGGGTTTTCAGTTGACCAGGCTGGGCTTGAACTCAATCCTCCTCCCTCAGCCTCTCAGAGCACAGAGATGACAGGCACTCATCACCAGGCCAGGCTTTCTTCTTTCTTTCTTTCTTTCTTTCTTTCTTTCTTTCTTTCTTTCTTTCTTTCTTTCTTTTTTAAATTTAGAAATGTATTGTTTAATCCACAAGCTTCATATAGCTTTAGCTTAAAAAACAAAAACAAGGAGACAAAGACACTGTTTCAAATTCCTGGCCCTTCCAGCTTCCAAATACAACATCTCTGCACATTCTTGATCCCATTTGGAAGAATAAGACAAAAATATGAATGGAGCCATGACATTTCACAGAAAAAGAAGATTTCATATAACTGAAGAATTGATTGATCCTTCCTGGGATAACTTAACTGCCTTTACAAGCAGGGAAAAGGAGGGAAGAGGGAGGCTGGTGGTGAGGGAGGAAGGAAAAAGAAACCTAGAACAGAGTAGAATCCAGTTCCAGTGTTCTGATTCAACATGTCACACATCCGTATAAACCAACTACTCTGGAAAACAAGCTTTCATTTTTCTCTCTCAACTTGGAGCTGGAATCCTGATTCACTTCAGTGATTCCACAGGCAACAGGGAAGATTGTGGCATGGGAACATCTATTTATCCTTCTGTGGTACTTCAACAGTGGTGGTCTATCTGGACAAGCTCACAAACCATACAAGGTTGGAAACAGAACCTAAATAGGTGTGAAAACTCAAATGAGAAAAAGTAAAAAAAGAAAAGGAGGGGGAAACCACCCTGGGAATAAGCAGGGGCACTTCAAGAAATTCACCAATGCTAACAATGCTTTGCTGCCCGGCCAGCTCAGTGTCTGTGTGTGTGCTCCCCTGGAGGGAGCCAAGCCTGGTGATCTCTGGTCTGTAACTCTGGAGTCTCAGGAGAGCAGGCCAGCTGTGCGCAGCTTGTGCTCCCAGGAATCCCACATCAAGACCGCAGAACCCCTTCGTGAAAGCTAAAGGTCATTTTCTCCGCATGGGGTCTGTTCTCTGTGACCTCAGCACTTAGAAATCTCTGAGGCACCAGGCTGGGTAGGAGTCCATGTGTGGAAAGGCACGCGACAGCCCCCCACATGTGGCACCCTCTTCCCAGAGGTCCTCGCCTCTCCTTTGGCCTGTCTGACCTCCAGTCTCCCAGTCCGTCTTCTTGGGATCCAACAGGTGATGAGCAGTGTTGAACAACTGAGCCCCCTTCTTTTATAGTCCATGCAGATGTTCAGATACAAAGCTGTAGTCCCAGCACACATAAAATTTATTTATTGTAAATGGACAGAAGAATCACAGCACAGAGCTCAGTCTTAGCAGTTGGCGCCAGGGGGAGCTTTCTGCTGAGAACCCTCTGGCTGTGTTCTGTGCATCAGTTGTTCATTGTTAATGCTGCTGCAATCCAACAATCATGGTAGTGCATGCTAGTGATCCCAGCACTCCAGAGGCTGAGGCAGCAGGATCGCCTCAAGTTCGAGGCGAGCCTGGGCCACAGAGCTAGACCCTCTCTTTAAAAACAAACACAAAAAATTTTTGCTGTGATCTGGTCATCTCCAGCTGGACCTTGCACTCGGCACTCGCTGTACAATCCCACGCGCAGCAGTGACAAGTGACACTGTCCTTCGTGCTGGCCATTGGTTGGCACCTGACCTTGCTGTACTTCCTGATGGCTGGGGACAGGGGTGTGGGGGAAGCAGTTCCTGCAAAGCAAGTGCGCACGAGGGTGATGACTGCATTTGTGTCTTGCAGAACTGCAGGAACTGGAGAGCTGCAGTCGACCTGTGCGGACGCCTCCTCACGGCCCACGGCCAGGGCTACGGCAAGAGCGGGCTGCCCACCAGCCACACGACGGACTCACTGCAGGTCAGGACTCATGCCCAGGGTTGCTGGAGCTTTACATGGCTTAGTATAATTTGGGGAGCACAGCCTCAAGTGTCAGGACAATCTGAGAACAAATTGGAGGTTTTCGTGTCCTGAATTGAATGTCCATGTGAGATTGTTCGGGCTATTCCTTTCCTGGTCATTGGTGTGTTCCTTCTGCCTGCCTGAACTGGAGTCTCCCAGTGCCCTGCACTGTGACCTCAGTGCAGCCCTGTAGCCAGGCCTCAGCGTGCTTGTCACCAACTCTTCCTTCCTCCTGCAGACAAGTGTGGCCAGAGGGTGGCAAGGAGGTTCCCTCCTGGTGGGTACCACAGAGACTGCCTGGCGGTGCAGCTCCATCTGCTCTTTAAGTTCATTAAAGGCTATGGCTGCACGTTTATCTTCCCCTGCAAAGTGCGATCAAGCAGGATTTGTCTCTGCGCCTGGAGTATGTAGCGTAACATCCTCTGCGTTCATGCTTGTTGTCAAAAATGACAGGGCTGGGGCTGGTGAGATGGCTCAGTGGTCTAAAGCACCTACTTGGAACAAGCTCAGCAAAGCACAGGGAACACGGTTCAATCCCCCAGCACCACATGCCAGCCAGTCCCGCCCCCTGGTGGGCTGAGCTGGACACACACACACAAATAAATAAAAAAAAATTTAAAAAAAAGAAAAGAAAAAGTGTTAAAAAAAAAAAAAAATGACAGGGTTCCTTTCTGTGTGCAGCTAGTACTCCACCAGGTGTGCCATACTTCCTTTATCTCTTCCTTCGTTGATGGACATGATGAACTTCACATTTTCATCAGTGAAGTCAGATCAGTTGAGGGCCTTTCTAAGGTACCTTTCAGTTCTGAAGGTCTCCAGCTGTCCCTCATTCACTTGAATCACACCACTTTGCTGAGGGTGTCCACATCGCAGCAGCTGGGAGTGCCCATGCTTGTGGTGTCATGGCTACATGTGCTGGCACTTCCCCCTGTGCCACAGCCCCAGCTTAACAGGTGGCCTGGAGACCGCCATCCTTCAGTGTCATCCCTTGCACAACGCACACAGCCATGCCCTCTCCCCATCCACAGTGTCTTTATGCACATGACCAAAAACAACTCCACACTGAGCAGCAAAAATAAGGCCTGAGAACATATGAATATAGAAAAGGGAGTTGTCACCAGATGCCGGGCCATAACCTGCTATCTCTATCTTGCTTTGTGTTTCAGCTTTGGTTTGTAAGACTGGCGCTGCTTGTGAAACTGGGTCTCTTCCAGAATGCCGAGATGGAATTCGAGCCCTTCGGGAATCTGGACCAGCCAGACCTGTACTATGAGTACTACCCGCACGTGTACCCGGGGCGCAGGGGTAAGGCACGGAAGTGTGATGTTGGGGTCTCTGTGGTTTGTTCCCCTGTGCTTTGACGGATGTCAAAGAGAGCCTCACTTCTTTCATCCCAATCTAGAAAATGAAATCTCTGTTTTAGACACTGTGACCTGTGGGTCTTTGGGTCCCTGAGGAGGAGCCATCTGTGGAGGACCTCTGAGGACCGCAGCAGAGCGGGCAGGTGGTGGGGATGGAGGTTGCACACGTCCCCTTGTGCCCCACATTGGGAGCGTGACAGTATTTCCTGCTCTTTTCCATTCAGATTTTTAAAATTGGTTGTGGTCCACAAGGGGGTCACAGTCACAACCATCAGGCTGGTTCTGGGACAGGGACAGGACATGGGGCTGGAGGGAGCTAAGGCAGACTGCAGAGCAATCCAGTAGGCTGGAGAGGACCTGGGGTGGTCTGCACCCTGCTGTGTTCCTGTCAGGGAGAAATCCTTCATTGCGTGATTCTCCTGTCCTGGGAGCTAAGCCCTTTGTTCAGACTTTTCCTGGCCATATCTTGGCACCTGCTGAGTCGCTGTGCTACTTTGGGCAAGTTAGCTACGGCTCTGTGACCAGCACCCTCATGAGCAAAACAGGGATCTGATCTGCTCTCCCACTGCGTTGGTATGAAGAGGAAGTGACGTCACATGTCAGAGGTGTGAAACGGTGGCTGGCGCATCTGCTATATCCGCTACTTTACCCTGTGTTGAGTTCCTAAACAACATCTTCCGCTTTTCTCTTAGACCATGGGATCAGCATTTTTGGTGGAAACTTGCCTTTCTATGAATCCCGCAGGCTCCCACACGGGGTCTTCTCACCCTCGGGAGGAGGGCTGCGGGGGGGAGTGGCTCCAACCTGCCCTGAAGGGCAGCCGTCCTGCCTCTGCATCCAGGCACAGTGCTGGCCGCCATCCTTCCTCGGGCCATTCACTCCTGGGATGCGGAGAAAACAAGGGCCAAAATGAAACCGCACAGGGGACGGATGGAGAGAAGATGGCACCAACACATCATTAAGCAGCTAATTCAAATTAGCAAATGGACACAAATCATACATATGTTTTTGCTGAAGTGTGCGAACACCCATCCACAATAATGTGCTGCGTATTTTCTAATTTTTCTTTGCATTCTGTGGAGCAACAAGCATAAACGTTAAGAATTTGATTTATTCATTTCATTTTGGCTTGCAATATATAAGCAAAGCAAGTCGTTAAAATGTGCTTTAAAAAGGAGGTTACAGCAACACAAACAAATAAATAACTTTTATGAATGAGCTTTAATATATTTCATTTAAATATTGGGCACAATTTTTACCCAGTCAGAGGATTCATAACAAGACATACAATGAATGGTGTGAAATCACCAAGCTGTGTCTTCATGTGAGAGAGCGGCAGCGTTGTGCCCTCGGGGTCCTGCCGAGTCCCAGCAGCTATGCTACACCCCCTTGAAGCAGTTTGCTGGACCTTGGTCCCAGCGCCCTCCTCTGAGCTGCTGCTCCGGATGCCCTCTTCGTGTACCCTCTCTTGCAGCAAGGGCTGAGTGCAGGTGGTTTGGGGTCACAGGAGGCAGCCTGGCTCTTGATTCTTTGCCTCCTCTTATGAACTTTAAAATCAGCGTGTCGATATCCACAGCCATCCCCTTGCTAGGACTGCACTGAATCTGGACTCTAAGTCCTGACAAAGCGACCTCTTACACCCTTGAGTCTTCCATCCATGAACATGGAATGTGTGTGTGACCACCCAGGTTTGATTTCTTTCACTGGAAGACTTTGTTCTCTTCATTCTGTCTTTTGGATTCATACCTAGGTGTTTTGTTTTGGTGCTAATGTGAGTGGTACCCTGCTCCTGATTTGTTAATTGCTGGTATTTAGAAATCCAGTTGACTTTGGTGTATCACACAGCATTTCATTACCTGTGTGGGGAACCACGGACAACTGATGCAGCTGTGATCCGCTTCCAGGCTCCATGGTGCCCTTCTCCATGCGCATCCTGCATGCAGAGCTGCAGCAGTACCTGGGCAACCCTCAGGAGTCACTGGACAGACTGCACGGAGTGAAGACAGTCTGTAGCCAGGTGAGTGATGCTGCGTCGGCGCCCTGCCCTACACAGCCACGCTGCCCACTGCCCTCCCCAGCAGCCCTGGCACTTCCTCTCTCAGGCCTGAGACATCCAACTTGGTAGCCAGGGCATTGCTGCTGCTGTTGATGTTGGAGGCACTCGGGGTGGGAGGGTGGTTATTGGTACAGCCAGGGTCCATTCCTGAAACCCTTGTTCCTTAGACTCTGGGTAGAGTAAAAGCAAGGCTGTTTGCTTCATATAAAGTAGCCCGTGTGAGCCTGCGCTTGGCTACACGTGCACTACACACGCACCTACGCACACACGCAGCCACAGCCACCTATCTGCAGCCGCAGCAGCAGCATTGACCTACTCGGTGTCACAGCCCTCACTCGTGACATTGATGCCAAGGCCCAAGCCCAGCACCACTTACGCCATGCCCCCACACTCCTTCAGCAGATGAGTTGTCACCACAGGTGACACTGGAGGAAATGCAGGCAGAAGGCTTCATCATACACAGCCTCAGCCTCCCTCCGCCCTGGGCGTCTGCACTGGGACCATGCACTTGCCCTGCCTCTTGTCACACAGGTCCAGGAGCAGAGGAAAATGTGTAGCTGGGATGGTGCCAAGCAGCCCATGCAGTGGCCTTCAGGAGCTCCCACAATGAGAGTTTTTTAAAACACAAGGTCACATTTCCCAGCCAGTGTGGCTGTGCACAGAGCAGCCTGGAGTTCATCTTCGGCCCTAAGCTGCTGTGCAGCCTGGGCCTGCGCCAGCCTTTGACATGGCCTGGAGCCCCAGTGACAGGAAGTGCCTGCCTCCCAGGGAGCAGGCCGAGGGCCGAGGGCTGCCATGACCTCCTCTTCCTAGTGGACTGGACAGAGCCCAGTGAGGCCCCGGGGCCTGACTCCTAGATCCTGAATAACACCGGCCCTATTCCAGCCACAATGATCCAGTCCCCAGGGGCCCAGCGGTGAGGGCCCCTTCCTCTTGGCCTCCTGTAGAAGGGGCCTGGGCCAGAAGTGTGTATTCTCTGGTTAGGAAGCCTGCTTCCCTGCCCGGATAGCTGCATAGCGAGCAGAAGGAGGACTTGGGTCCTTTAAATAGGAAGGGCCCTTTCAGTACTGTTGGGAGCAAGTGGTACTGGTTATATATGGAGTCAGCCAGCTGGCGTATTCATCCCAGGCATCTCATTTTCTCCTTGGACAGAACACCAGCAGGCTTTTATTTTGACTGATGGGTCTCCTTCCCCAGCCGCGGATGGTATTGGCACCTGCTTGTATTGGGGTATAGCCTGTCCCTCCAGCCCCCTCTTCCACCCGCAACTCTGCCTGTTCCCAACCCCTGACTTCCCCAGTCTGCTTCCAAGCAAGATAGAGTGCTTCCTGGCCCACTTATTCTAAGACCCCCTACTGGGGAGCCCCCAAAGGACTCCACTAAAGTCCGCAAACCTCCTGAGCTTGTCCACGCAGATTCTCTCTCCCACTCTGCAACTGTCTTCGCTCCGGATTTCATCCCTGGCCTCAGAAGGGCGCCCACTGCGCTGGGTTCACTCTGAAGTCCCTTGTGTTTTCCTTTTGCCTAAGATCACTGACCTCATGAGCCTGTTCCCCATTCTTGTCCACTACTGTCCCCTTGTCCCATCTCTTTGTTCTTTCTGGGCTCCCTTGACTGAAGGAATCTCATGACGACTCCGAGACTGGTACCCTGGCCCTCTCTGCTCGCATGATGCCTTGTCGATGGCAGAGCAGCTGCTGTCCCTCAGCCTGGTTTAAGGCAGCTGGGCTCCCCATGGTCACAGTGTTGAGCCTGTGTGTGCCTTGCAGCTGAGTTCCCGTACCATTTGATGGTGTCTGGAGTGTCGCCTGCAGGTGACCAGGCTGTGGCCCAGGGGTAGAACTAGTCATGTCTCCATTTTTCTCCCTAGCAAATAATCTTTCCTCTTGAGACCTTTTCACCTCATCCTTCCCCTCCAAAAGGAAAACTTACTCATATTACAGTGGCTTTGCAGGGAAAACCAAAAACAGAAAACAACCAGGAGTCATTAACCCCCCCAAAAAAATGCTAGGTAAAGTGACAGATGCATCCCCTCCTCTGGGGACATTAAGAAAGGCCATGGGGCCTTATGGTGCCCTGCCGGAAGGGGACTGGTGTTTCCACAGAAGTTAGCGATCGCTGTTATGTGCAGCGTGCTTGGTGCTTTTCTCAAATCCACATGTTTCCCATGCGCAATGTCTGGGGGCTTAGGGCATTCTTATTTTTCTTTTGGTGTTCTGAGATAGGGTCTCACTGTGTAGTTCAGGCTGGCCTTGAACTCACTATGTAGCCCAGGCTGGGCTTCCACCTGAAGTTAACCTTCTGCCTCAGCCTCCCAGCTGCTGCGATTACAGGTGTGTATCACTACACCTGGCTCTTGGGAATACATTATGAGTATTGTAAGCCCAAGTTCACCTCTCCCTCCGCTGAAAAGCAGGGCCTGTCCTTGCACTGTGACTTCAGGTTGAAGTCCTCACAGTGTGGACGATGTGTCCACCCAGGCGCAGACGTTCTCTGGCAGCCTGTTCTCCATCCAGAGAAGCCTGCTGTCCCTATGAAGTGTTAGGGAAAAGTCTGGGCACGAGCATGTTTCTCACTGACATCATTGTGTCCGGTGGCCACAGATCCTGGCGAACCTGGAACAGGGCCTAGCCGAAGACGGGGGCCTGAGCAGCATCACCCTGGAGAGCAGGCAAGGTGAGCTGGTGGCGGGTGGTGGGGGTCCCTGCTCTCGGCCTCTGGCTCCTCACCCTGCAGAGCACTGCCAACTCCTAAGGTGGCTTACAGCTCCTCTCCCTGGGGGACCTGCCGGTGGCCACACTTCGGGAAGCCAGAGTCCCTTTCCCAGTGGCCATGGGGGCAGGTTTGGGGGAACTCTGCGAGGGAAGACCCGGTTGGGCACAGGGCCATGGGGTGGCAGGAGATGGGACCACAGGCTGCAGGGCAGTGGGCTGTGCTGAGAAGGGTGCACACACACCCGTTTCTTCCACTGTTTAAGACAGGGAATTTGTGAAGAACGAAGGTTTGTGTGCAGCGGGGATCTGGTGAGCCCTCTTGCTGCCTCCTGACCTGGCAGGTGTCACAGGTGTTCTTCTCCCTCTCCTATAAAGCTATTAATGCCACCATGCGGCAATCTCAGGACTTTACTGCTCCCAGAGGCCTTGCCTCCAAATACCACCTACATAGGCCCTCAGAGATGAAGTTCTCCAATAGCAGCAAGGGGCAGGCTGTCAACCTCCAACCTCCAGGGTTGCCTATTCGCCCTTTGGGCATCTTCCCCAGACCTGTGTCTGGCAGCTCCTTCTCCCAGCGCCAGTCCTGCCTGGTAAATCCTAAGACCAGGATATGCACTGGGACAGATGAGACTCCAAGTCAGCAGGACACTGGGTAGGAGGAGAGCATGCAGGATGGGGCTGCCAGGTCCTCACCCTGGGGCCTTCAGGAGCCCATGCGACCCCCTGGTCTGGAGGTGTGTGAGGTTGGGAGGGTGTTTGGGTGTGCACTGTGTGTATCTGTGTATCTGGTACAGTGTGAACTGCTGGAACCTAGGAGGCTCTGTGTTCCCACCCCCTCCTTGAAGAGCATCCCAAAGACACGGAGCTGAGCTAATAGTGGAGCTGCCCCTTCCCACTACCTCTTGACTTGGCCCAAGTCTGGATCGGGTCCCTCTGTTTTTTCATTTTTGGCTGTGACACAGGGTCTCACTGTGAATTTCATGCTGGTTTTGCCTTGAACGCACTGTAGAGCTCAGGTTGGCCTCAAACTTGTGGCAATCCTCCTGCCTCAGCCTCCCAGCTGGGATGGCAGGCAATGTAACCTACCTGGCTTATGCTTGGGTCCCTCTTAAAGGAGTGGACAGGCCAGGGAGATGGCTCAGTGGAATAAGCGATTCCCTGGCAAGCGCAAGTTGATTGAACTCAAGCCTGAGTTCAATCTCTGCTTCCTCCAAAAAAAAAAAAAAGGAGTGGACACACCCAGGACAAAGAGTCGCTGGGGTCAGGTAATACCTCCACCCCTCTGGTCCACAGCCTCATTTTTAACAAAGCATAAATCCTGACGCCAGCTGCGTCTCCAACCCAGACACATCCTGATGCACTCAGTTGCAGTCAGCTGCCTTTGCCTGGGGGCTCTACCAGACCCCAGGGAGCAATGGAAGTAGCGAGCCTCAAAGGCTTGGGGTCAGCAGGCACCCCTGGAGGGAGCAGAGGGCTCAGCTGCCTGCTCAGTGGCCCCAGAGAAGCCTGGGTTGAAAAGCACTTTGGTCTTTAGGGAATATTGGGTATATCACCGAATTGAGGGATGTGGGAGCCGGGCCAGGGTCACTAGAACCAGACGTTTTGACTGCAGGAGCCTCTGACTCCAGGGGCCTCTCCGGTGGAGAACCACTTGGCCCATGCTGGGGCCAGGCAAGGGGCTCAGGAGGTCCTGGGGTGCTGTACCCCACTTTGCCCCTACTTTGCACACCCTAGAGTCCAGGTCAGTACCAGGCCTCTGACTGAGGCTCAATCCCTGAGGGCCCCCCCTGCCACCCTCAGTCCTTCCAGGGTCCTCCTGCAGATTCTCGTCCTGAGTTGGCCTGGCAGAGCAGGGGGATGCCCACTTACACACACCCACCCTCTCCCTGCAGCCTCGGTGCAGCTGTGGCGGACGCGCCTGGGCCGCGTGCTGTACTCCACGGCCAACTGCTTGCTCCTCATGAAGGTAGGTGTGGGTGCCAACGCAGTAGCCCTGGAAGCTGGGGCCGGCCAAGCCTGGCAGAGCCCAGTGACCCTACAGCTGCTTGGTGTTCAAAACGCAAGCAGGGGTCACAGCACCATGTCCCACATGCAAGCGAGTGTGCTATTTCTTTGGAACCGTCCATGCCCCCTCCAGAAGGGTGCCTTTGTTCCCTGGCTCAGGAGGGTGGGACTCCCTCCACCCCTGTGTGATTTTATCCACAGCCCTGGAGCCAGGGCTCAGGCCCCTCTTTTCTGTATGCCCCTCCTAGGCACTGGCATGGGCACCAGCAGCGGCATTGATGGCCCTGCTGGAATCCCACAGCAGTGCAGCTGCACCTTCAGGCTGCTTCACGGAGCACAGTTCCTCCCTCCTGCTTGCAGCTCCTGAGCTGCCCAAGGTCATTCTGAGCTGCCCAAGGTCACTGCTGAGCTGCCGTGGGAGCAGGCTCCCTTTGGGCCTTTCAAAGGGGGGTGCAGAGCTGAGCAGCAGTTGCCCCAGGCCAATCTCCGGGCCTGCTCACTGTATGACCTTGAGGTAGTGCCAGAGGAGGGAGTCAAAGCCTCAGAAATCCCCAGGCCTGACATTCATCTGCCCCCTCGCCTGGCCTTGCAGCATGCTGGATAAAGGAAAAGGCAGTTGTTCTTCCCCCTGTACTCGAGGCTGTCTCCAAAGAGGACAGGCTGCAGCTCAGAGGGCCATTCGCTCCCCCTCCTCCTCTGGTCCTCAGGCCTGGGCACCTGGCACTGCGGCTTGCACCACCTTCCAGCCTCCAGAGCACCCTATATGTTGCCCCAGGGCGCTGCGGAGGCAGCAACTACCCCCAGCCCCCCACCCCAGCTCACTGACTTCCGGTTGCCAGAACAGGCAGATGAAAGACAAATGACAGAGCTCCTGAGGAGTCTTGTGAATCATGGGCCGAAGTCCTCAGTCCTCAGGAGGGGAGCTGCCTGTGGGCAGTGGGCAATTACAGAACACAGTGCTCTTCATGGTTGTGCTGCGGGCGGCAGGGATAACCCCAGGCGCCGATCTTAAGGTCTCTCCCTATTGTTGCGGCTCAGAACAGAGCCGAGTTGTATTGTACTGTGGCTGGTGCTGCATTTGCAGTGACAGGAGTGAAAAATGCCTGAGGAAAGCCGGTCCAAGCACGTGCATGCTGCTGCCCTCTCTTGAGCCCTCACAGTATTGCAACCATGGGGTTCTTTAATTAGGTACATGGCTAAAAAGAGCTTAAAACGGGAGCCATTTAACTATTTGGACAGCATTTCCTACAGCGAAGTCAGTATCCGTTTGGCTTTTATAATGATGAGAAATCCACTCATCCATCCCAGCTCCCTGCATCCGCATGATGCACTGTGAGGTACACTCACCCAGAAAACCCCCACCCCCAGCCTGCCATGTCTGTCACCTCCCCACTTAGGCTTCTGACAGCGGGAAGATGCCACACAGGTGTCCCCACCCTCTGTGGCCC